AGAAATGAAACTGAACTGAAACTAAGAGAGAGCCAACATCATCTGAATAAGTCATAAGGTCTTGGCTTTTCAAACAACAATAATAACAGCAACAACAGCAACAACAGGAACAAGAGCAACAACAACATCAACAATAGCAGCACTCGGCACAAATAAGCCATATCTGTTTCTGTATTCGTATTGACTGGCAGTTAACATGGCCAGGCAAAAAGTTTGCTTGAGTTTTCAACTGCTAGCAAAATTGTCCTGTGCATACCAAAAAACCTGCAATAACAAACACAATTGCAACTGTCACCCATAGACATACACACACACATATACAGACACGCGCACATACACTACTTTATAGGGTAGTCTTTTCGTATGTATTTGGCAACAATTTATAAGGGCAATACGTGCAGGGCATATGCCGGCGAGACTTCCTGTCGAGGACAAGCGATGACTGCAACGACTTCAACTACAACTAGGACGAGCTGGAGGATGTGCATGAAAGGGGGTCTTGGTGGCAGCGGCGGGGAGAGTGGGGGGTATAAAGTATAAGGTTGAGGACAACTATGCGAGGTCCACGCGTGTGCATACCAATTGCAATGTTGGCAAACATTTTAAAAAGCCAAAACGGAACTCGCAACTGGTAGCTACAAATGCAACTTATGCGGGGAACCTGTCCTGCAACTGCAGCAAAGAAATTGACAAGAAATTCAGCAGGTCAAGTGAGGTATGCACGACTCAACAAACACTCAATACAAGACCTAACTCGAGAGTAAGATTTAAGTTATATTTAACAATATATAAATCAGATTATTACTTTAATTACTTATAAGAAGTAAGTAAATTGAGTACAGATTCTATATATAATGCAAGGTAGATAATAAAATAAATTAAATTAAAATGTAGCATATAAATATATAAATAACTTCACTAAATTACGACTTTCTGTAGTTATTAAAATTATCTTAAATAGGTTTAAGTCTATTTATAATTTTTATCTAAAAAAATTACTTAAATATATAAATACAATATCTGAAGATAATTGATAATACGATTTCGAATTCATTTATTTATTAATTAATATTTACTTTTAATAAATGTAATAACCAACATACTTATATTAAAAGTAAATGTTCACAATTTTATTATTATTATGTGACCTTTTATTTATTTATTTACTACTTATTTATTTATTTTCAATATCTGATGGTTAGTATATTAACAAAATAAATCAAATTTATGGACTTAATAAATATTTAACCATATAAATTTATAATTTAAAAATCTATTAAATTTATTAAATAAATATATAAAATCGGTGTATTATCACAGATACCATCTTTAGTTATGCTCGAGCTTATCATGGCCACTTATCAGAAACCTACTTTTTACAGGGTATGGCACAAGAACAGGCAAAGGCAAGTTCCTGAAATTGCTCGCACTGCGTTGGCATGTGGCGCTGCTGCCGGTTCTTGTTGCTGCTGCTTTTACACAATTCGATAATAAATATTACAAGCTAGACAACAACAACAACAACAAATAACAAAAAAGAAAATAAGAAAAAGAAAATTCAACATCTGAACAAAAAAAAAGAAAAACAACACGAAAACGAAAAGTTGAGCACAAGAAAAGAGCGAAAACAAATTAAATTCGGTTTGCCGTTTGTCGTTTTCTTATTATTTTCTTTTTTGCTTCAGCTTTTCACAAAAATTTCAAGCAATTATGAGGCGTGGCTGGGGGCAGGGGCACCCCACGCCGGGGGCAACAATTTGCATAAGTTGGCAAGCTGGTTGCTAGAGAAAGTGGGGGGAGGAGAGGCAGCAGCGCAGGGAGCAAGCGTCGCATTGATTACAAGCGTGAAAATGTATTTCGAATATGCGACGATGAGCGCAGAGCCACAGGAAATACGTCGGGAAAATCGACAAGCAAAAGAAAACAAAGCAGAAAAGTCTCATTGTCAGGCAACGCCGCAGGGCACGCTAGGATTTTTGGTTGCGGCCTAGTCCAAATTAAAGCAAATCCCCAGCTCGTTGTGTGCTCTTACAAAAGAAAATAACCATTGTGATTTAATAAATGGGGTTGACTGCATTTTATTTCAAGTAAAATCAAATTTCAAATTTCAAGCCAAAATGCAGAGTTAACTTTTAAAAACCAAGTAAAGCACATGTCACTAGAAAAAAAACGGGTATACAGTAAAATGGAAAATAATTCTAATTAAAGGGATAAAGAATTTTATCATTTGTTATTCAAGAAAAGTGAAATCAAAATGTTAATCTAAGAGTGTTCACTAAAATTTATGAAAGTACAAGAAACCTGATTGAGTGCACAAAAAAAAAATATTGATGAGAAGAGCATTTTGTTAATGGAGAGATTCTTAGTACTAAATGTACTTTTAATTAAAATTTAAAATTAATATAAATTTCTAGCAATATTATAAAGTTTTGAAAAACGGTGATCATAACACAGGCCGAACCCTAACATGGAGAATGATATCTTCACTTTAGTGTTTTATATGTCATGACTGATAATTATAAATAATAAAAAAGTTAAACGTCCCTTTACCTGTCTTTAAAAAGTTTTCTTTTTATGACATTCGCCTGAAAAATTTAATACAATATAAAATTACAATTCTAGCTTAATAATACAATTTAAATTTAGCCTAAAACTAAGACAAGCTCTAAAGCAAGCTATTTTCACTTTCAATCAAGTTAGTTAGCGCGATTTTGGAGCGTGTTTATGCTTCGGCTTAATACAAAAGTATCCTTAATTTTTGGCATATTTTTTATATATTCTTTTCCCCTGTTATTGTTGTTGCTGTTGGAGTCGTATGTATTTGCAGTCGTCTTGAAAAATGTACTTTTTATGCTTCATTACGTCGCGTCTTCCTGTTGTCAGTTTTTCTTTACATTTCGTTTAACATTTGTCACTTTTATAGCTGCATGTGTGTGAATGTTTGTGTGTGTGTGGGTGTTTGGTTGTGTGTATAAATGGTTCCATGTGTTTGTGTAGGATATATGGGCCTGTCTGCATATTTGTACATATGCCTCGCAGCTGCCCATCTTAATTTTGGCTTGTATTTTTTTGTTGCTGTTGTTGCTTCTGTTATTGTTGCCATTGTTGTTATTGTTGTTGCTGTTTTTTTTTTTTGCTATTATTGTCGCTAGCATTTCATCAACAGCTGCTGCTGCCAGCCCCTGAACACATTGCCCAGCCTCTTTACAACTTGATTTAAGGTTCAGTTGATATGTCGCCATTTCGCTTCGCTCCTGCCTTTATATCTCTCCCTGTCTGCCTGTCTGTCTGTCTGTCAGTCTGTCTGTCTGTCTGTCTGCCCCGTCTCCTGAACAAATGTCATGTTCAAATTGTAGACTGAACTTTTGACTTTTGACAACGTCGCCGGCTTGATAGATAGACTGGATAATGTGCAGAGTCAAGGTCGACAGACATTCGCCCCGAATGCGCTGCCAAAGCAGCTCAATCATGATTTGGTTCAACTATCATTTTGGATTATGCCGCCAGTTTCTTAATTTGATTGAAACGGCAACCTTTTTCAAGTTAATCGTGATTGAATTCTTTGACAGTCTTCATTGCTAAATTTCACTTTATATGTGGTTCAAAACTGATTGATAACATTGGCAAATTTTTATTCTAGTTAAATGCTAGAAAATTGAATAAAGCTGAGCTGAACGTCAATCTAAATTTATAACATATCAGCTATTTAGTCTTTGTTAAAGTGTAATTTGTTGTCTGTTCTATAAATATTCTTTGCGAAGTATATAGCTAAAATATATTATATATATTATGAACTAATTTATTATGTTGCTTATAATTATGTTCTGTGCTTTAAATTATCTTGTTGAGGAGTTTAATTCATTTTCTTATATTATGTTAATTTGCATAACTTAACTCTGCAGCTCTTGTAAAGCCAACAAACAATCGGGCGAACAGTCAGGCAGACTTTGCCCAAGCCAATATACCCGTTTTCACACACTGAAAACACATACATGGCATCTAATTTTAAACTTGTTTATTTGAAGTTATTAAATCATCAATGGCTCAGCTAATAATACGCTCTAAAAACTTGAGTTGCGTCTTTTCAATAGATTAAACATAAACCTGTTGTTCGATTGCCTGAAAAAAATTGCATAGCACAGTCCAACAAACAATTGGGCTTAGATTTGTGTGTTGCTAAGGGTCAGCCATTAGGCACTCTCGGATCTATCATCAGTTAAATGGAACATGGCTGGGCGGGGGGCTCAACATTGGGCTGGAATCACATTAGCGTGTTAAACTACTTAACACACATACACAAAAGCAATGAACCCTGAACGTGAACGTGAACCTGAACCGGAGCGAGAACTAGAATCGTAAGACCTCGACCCCCTAACCGAAACCTAAACATGGCAACTTATGGGCGCAGCATTTGTGCCATGATGTGGGCGTGCCTCAGTGCGCCTGATTGAATTAATCAGCTTCATTATTTTCGTGCTATTTGGCTTTAATGTATTTGCAAGCATGTTTCAATTAGGACACGAGCTGGCAAACAAAAGCCCAACATAAATTCCAAGACGCCGAATGCCTAATTTATATATATGTATGTATATGTACATATATACGCATTAAAGAAGAGCTCAAAGTGTGTCTTGAACTTGGCAATTTATGTGGCTACGTGCAAGGCATTTGGCCAAAATCAGAGACACAAGCACACACGAACACACACACACACACACACAAATGCAGACAGACAGGAACTGTGTGCATTTCCTTAAGTGTGCAGTGGCATTTGCGGCATGCATATTTAATGTTGATCATGAAGCGAGCCATTATTGAAATTGATTCACAATAAAAACACAGACAAATTACCCAAAACTTCACCTGAGTTCAAATAAATAAATATTTGCATGTGTATGTCTCTCTGCCTGTATATATGTGTTTGTGTGTGTGTGTGTGTTAATATTTGTATGTGCAGCACACACATTTGACTATTTAATCAAAGTCTTGAAAATGTTTTCATTTCATATCCTATTTTGAAAACCAATAAATGCTCCAAAGCAACTGGCAAAACTAGCTAATATCCTGTAGTTATATCAATAAACTTAATATGTGGTACGGTGCTTGTCCAATTTTATATAAATGTAAGATGGCAAATACAATTTCACCGGCGTATGCGACCCTCTTTATTTATTTTCAATAGCTGCAGGGTATTAATATGACAATTGATGCTGCTGATGATGATGATAACAAGATCATCATAATCAGCTGCCGCTGCTGCTGTTGCTGCTGTTGCTCCTTGTTGTTTTTATTGTTGTTCAAATTACGCAAGCAATCAATGCCAAAGTGCCGGCCCAGACAGGTGACAAAGCGCAGTTACAGATACACGCATTTGGGTATTGGATGGCTCACCGAAAGTATCTATAAGATGCGCACACAACAAAGCGGAAAACACAGATACATACACTCACACTCACACGTATATTATATTATTTTCAATAAGCAAGCGACATATTGATAACAAAAGCTTTGAAATACACACAGGCTCCGCGGACCCACTCTCCTGCCCCCTCGTCGTGGACAGAAAATATTGAATATATATCCCAAACAGACACACAAAGGAGCTGAGCAGCTCGTAGCATAAAACATTTTGAAATTGTGAAAAAATTGTATGGCTCTGGCATTGTATTGAATTTTGTATTGTCCATGTGGTTGTGTGCGAGTGTGTGTGCGCGAGTGTATGTGTATGGTTGAAGTAGAAATCTCATTGAACATATGTTGATATGTCTAACGCTGCCGTGGGATTAGACTACGGTATGCACCAGAATTTCTATTATATGAAAAACGAGCAATAGACAAGGTACAAAGAGATTTACCGGGTGAGTCTGGGGGAGAGCGGCAGAAAGCTGAGATGATGCCAAAATGATATGACTATGAATGCAATCCACTAACCACAAAAAACCATTTAAAACTGCCAGGCTAAAGTAGAAAAAAAAGAAGAGGAAAATGCACACGAGGATGCAAATGAGAGCATGTTTTCGACAAAGTCAACGGCATCTCCAACTGCTGCTGCTGCTGCTGCTGCCGCCTGCTTCTTGCTGCATCTTCGTTGCCACAAAACATTGGGTAAAACGTCGCTTTGTTGCACATGCCCCAAGCCCGCCCACAGCTTCCCACTCACACGCTTTCCCCATGGCCTCTGTGTGTGTGTTTGTGTGTGTGCTGTGCTTCTGCTGCTGTCACCTAATCCCCTTTTTCAATAAGATTTAAATTTGCATTTGACACATATTGGACGACGACAACGCCAACGACAACAACAACAACGACAACAACGCAGCAAACAGCGATTGCGATTGCGAATGCGAATAAATATTGAAAACGGGCGAATAAAAATGCAACATTTGACAGGTCGAAGATTACCTGCCCTATAAAGAAAACATTCGCATTGTAACGGCACAGATTCCACCTGTCTCCACGCTGTAAAATTAATTATTCACTATTTTTGCTTAAAGAGTACAACGCTTTTCTTTCGTAAAACATACGGAATCCCTTTAATACATAAACATAAACCCAACTCTTCTATTGCTTAAGCTTTAACAAGAGAAACTCTTAAAATAATATAATATAAAATAATACAAAAAAAAAAAAACACTAGAGCTTAGACTTTACTGGGGACAAGCACATTAAAATTATATTATATTATAAACAGAGGCAAATATAATAAAAAAAAAAAAACTTAAATCCATTAATAAAAATAAGCGCAGGCTTTTTCTTTTGATAAGATAAAATAATAAAAGAAATATAAAATGCGCAAGTCCAAAAATAATATTTACTATGAATAAATAAAGATTCATTGTGGACACCCCAAAAAGTTTATCAATTAAAACAGGAAAATTCTTAACATCAATAAAAAATACATAAAAATAAAAACATATTATGTAAGGCTTTATTGTGTGAAAGCCCAAAACTATTGTTAAATTAAAATAAAAAGGAAATAAAACAAAAACATATATTTTCTGATGATACGTTCCTAAGTTTTAGGATACTCTTTTTAGTTATATGAAGTTAAATAAAAGAAATAGAACAGAAAATAAAAATAAGAATAAACTATTGTAATTTTACTATTGTAAAATGTAATTGGATAGATAGTTAAAATGGTATAACAAACGGAAGTCTATGGAGTTTTTCTTAATAAAAAATGCATACAAACATTCATACTGCATAACTGCACTAAAATTTATCAACTAAGTTAATTAAGCAACTTTTGAATAATATAAGTTCTTGGATAAAATTATGTGGGAATCCAAACTTGCATTAAATATTTAATAAAGGACAACCTAGTTTGTAAAATGCTATTGAAATGTTTTAATAGCTTAACTAAAAATTAAATGCCTAGTAAAAAAAAAAAAATAATTGTCATATAATAAGTGTAATATAGATTAAAAATGATTTCAATTGTATTAAATAAATAAAGTGGATATTATCGAACAAAAATTCCAAACTACTTTTTATAGTAAAATTATATGTTTAAGCTGGCTAAAAAAAAAAAAAAATATAATTAAATGACTTTAATAAAGTCAATGAAACCCTAGAGGAAGATAAAAACTATACAATTTGTATATCAAATAATATTTTGAAAAAATGTAATATGCCATAAAACCAGAGACAGATCCCAAACATACCCTAAAAAAACAAGTGTATAGCAAAGCCATAAGTGGGCGTGCAATGCGTTGCAAAAGAAAGGTGAAATATGTGAACGAGTGGGCGGGTGAGTGGCAAAATGGAGCGGGCTATGTATGTATGTAGAGAGCTGTATAACTATCTAGGCAGCTAGCAAGCGTCAGGTGAAAAACGTGGCGTAAAAGAAAATGCGCGTTATTAGCATAGCTGGGGTAAAGCGCTTGAATTGGGTTTGCTTTGGTTAGTTGGTCGCTGGGTCTGCAGTTGGGCTTGGTAGCCGGGGTAGCCGGGTAGTTGGATGGATATGCTGACAGGTCGGTTGGCTGGTAGCTCGGTTTAGTTGCCGGCTCTGGCTGACATGTTATGTGATTTGATTTGGTTTGGTTTCACTCGATGCCAAAGACAGAGACCATTGCAATGGGGTAAGTACGTTTTGGTACGGAAACCTCATTAGCTGGCATTCCATAAGTCAGCGTGTGCAAATGGACATGACAGGCAAATGCTAGCTGTTCCAAATAACTGACAATACCACTAACACTTTGCGAAGGGCAACGGCATTGAGCCAGAAAACAAAAGCATGCAAGAAGATTTCTTGGTAACATTCAAGAAATTCATAATCTTTTATACGATTTAGCTGCCCTTCTGGAGCTCTAAGAAACTGAAGAGCTCGAGCAATAAATTGCCTTGGAAATTATCTGGCGAGAAAACATGTAGTTAAGATATAGAGTTAAATGAGAAAAATGTTATTTGAAGAAATAAAATTATATCAAGGTAAATCCTCAACATTAATTGTTTAAAAATAACTATAAACAAGTATTGACTGGGATGAACCAAAATATATTTTACGAAGTTTTAAAAAACCTGTAATTATGATTTATAATTGTTAAACTTATTAAATGCAGAAAATTATCAGATTACTTAGACGCAATGGCTCTCGAAAACGAATGTTGAGAATTACCTTTAAATTATTCTTGCATATTTAAGTAAAGCAAAACAGAAAGTAATTGCTGCTTGAAAAACCAAAAAAAAATATTTAAAAAGAACTCGATAAATATATAGGGAATGATGAGCAAGAAAGTGTTTTTTAAAATGGCGAACTAATAAACTAATAATAATATTATAATTAATGCAATTCTTTCTTTACATTCTGCTTTGTAAGCTTGTAAGCACAAAATTAGAAATAAATAAATGCTCAAAAATAATATTTAATAGTAGAGAACAGAGTATATGGATCATACATTAATTTTTAAAGTGGATATCTAATAATATGTAATAATAATTATTATAATTAATGCATTTAATAAAATTAATTAGACAAACTCGCTCTAGATTTCGATTTTGAAAAACCATCTATTAATTATCTTCACGTACATGTTCTAAGCAAAGCGAAAGCTTTCCCCCTTGAAGACAAATCGTTTTTTCAACAAATTCAAATTAAAACTGATATAACTTCAATTCTTTTGTTACCACATTTGCCTGTTCCACCTACTGTTCACATTCCTCATGTCATTGCTCACATGTTTCTAAAGACTTGTAAGTAATTTTCCCATTTTGTCATTGTCTGCTTGCATTTTGTGTCATTTCCTTTTGCACTCTCAACTTTCTCAGATCAATCGCACTCCGCGCGCGCGCTGCCACCTGCAGATGTACATCATTTATGCCGAGCTCTTTGACTAACAGATTTTCTATCATTTTCTTTTTGCAACATAATTTAGCAGCTTTTTTATTTTTTTGTGCCCCTCTAATTGTGTCTCGTGTAACATTCAATTGGTTTTTTTTTCATTCTGCAGCGATAGCTTCTCAACTTTCTAAAGCTTTCTTTTATCTCATGTGTAACTCGTGTATTTCTCCAACATATTCGTAGCTGCTATTGTGTTTCATGTATCCTACTTGGCTCGCTTCATTAAAAAGTAAGTCCTTTTAAATTGGCCTCCGCATCAATTGGAATTCATAGAACGCAACGGACGCTCTACTATATGTGTATGTTTTCCTTTTTTGTTAGCTTTATTTTTTGTGTATCTTATACTCTGCGTATTTTCAAAAAAGTTTTTAAAAAGGGTATAATAAAGTTAACAGGCAGAAGAGGACGGATGTATCCAATCTTATATATATATATATATATTCTGACGCGCGAACTTTATATCTATCCGTCCATCTACTCATCTCTTTGCCTTTTGGGCCCATTGATCCCATAGATTATATGAGTTGTTTAGACAAGGGTTCTTTCACTTAACTTCTGTAAAATAGCCACAAAATCGATAAATATCAATTAGCAGCATCACAAGTCTAACAAATGTTGGCTGTATGATATTTTAGGGTACACACAAAATATTTCACTTTTTTAATACCTGAAGAACCAAGAAGAAAGAAAGTCTACGAAAATTCCTGGTGCAGAGTATCTCCTAGTCGAATCACTTTTATTTTTCTTCTACTTTTTTTTCTTGCCTTGCGCGTGTGCCTTTCAATTTGCCGACTGCGTGCCCAGTTAATAGAACATAACTCGGCGGGCTGAGAGGCCGCTTTTCCAGCTGTTTGGCTGGCAAATATTTAAGACCAAATTGGCTTCTGGCCAACGAGCCGTTGGGCCGTTGCGAGGGAATTGTCAAAGGGTACGCAATGTGCCGCGCTCTCAATCCTCCCGCCCCCCCCCTTAAGGCAGCTCTGTTTGTCATCCATGTCTGGCGGGCAATTTCCATAAAGGACAAGAGGCTGGCACGAGGCGCCGTCAAATATGTTAAATAACAAACTATTTTGCATTTTTATTTTTTATCTGCCCTGCTCAGTGCCCCTTTCTCTCCCCCACCCACCCAACTCTCACTCTCCACATTTCTTTGTATTCGTATCAATGGCCAAGCGCTGGGCATTAGGCAAATGTGAATGTGCATGTGAATGCGAATGTGAATGTGAATGCGGCTGTGAATGTGGCTCATTCGAGCGTTTCGAATTCCTTGACGCAAATTTGTGCGGCTTGCGCTTGCCACATGAGCAGCGTCTGCTCAAGCCCCCCCCCCCCCCCCCCCCCCTCTATCCCTATCTCCCTCAGACCCCTCTAGCCCCTACCGCCGGCATCCCTTCGGTGTTTTGCGTTTTTGTTTG